AGCTGTCTCCAAAGTTGACATAGTAACCCTAAAGTGACGACGAGCAATGATCAATGATTTGCCTATTTTGAAATCCAAGCCGAAACCCCAGATTTACAGAACGGCATTCATATTAGGTTGGTGCAAAAGTTTTGTTAGTTTTTTAAATCCATCGGCAAACATGCTAGAATGGAGCTAAACAAATACTCTAGAATGTATCCGATGCAGAATTTCTTCCTCTTTCCAGCTGTTAAACTCCCATTGAGTTTGGTTGCGAGAGTGATAAGATATTTGCTGAAAATTACAACCACTCGTTTTTCCCATGTCCAAATTTCGCTAATTTTTAAAATCTTTATGTGAGACTTTCGGAGAAGCCCTAATAACCAGCAGATAGGGCAAACCTTTTGCCAACAGAAGCAGTTTTTTGTAGCCCTACTGCTTGTCGTCCAGAATTTCTACGATTTATTCTTTGAAGTGATTAAATTTTACATTCAGCATGTTTTAAAGCGTAGAACATAAAATGTTAAGCAGTTCAGTCACCATTCGATGCAAATTTTTCTCCTCTTTCTAACACTCGTCTTTTTTTGCCGAGATAGGCGAAATGTGTGGAGGAAATCGCAATATTTTTCAATTTTAGGAGTGCGCAATGACGTGACCTATGTTTCAAAATCTTCATAATTTGAAGCGAAAATCGCTCATTTACTTTGTAATGGTAGCGGTACTAATAATCGTGTGTTGAAACCTCAGTTTTCTGTAGGTTTTGTAGTGTTTGGTGCAATAACAGGACATGCGATTTTTCCAAAGCACAAGACCTTTAGAAAATTATTTAGCAAAAATCTGAAAAAGCAGCTAAAAAAGAAAAAAATTCGCATAAGTTGGCAAAAGGTTTGCCCTATCTGCTGGTTATTAGGGCTTCTCCGAAAGTCTCACACAAAGATTTTGAAAATTAGCGAAATTTGGACATGGGAAAAACGAGTGGTTGTAATTTCCAGCAAATATCTTATCACTCTCGCAATCAAACACAATGTTAGTTTAGCACCTGGAAAGAGGAAGAAATTCTGCATCGGATACATTCTAGAGTATTTGTTTAGCTCCATTCTAGCGTGTTTGCCGATGGATTTAAAAAACTAACAAAACTTTTGCACCAACCTAATATTTCCACTAAAAAAGCGAGAAAATTATCAGAAATCAAACGGGTCCATGTTTTTTGAGGCATTTTACACCTGAAAAAACGGGATTTTGTCAAAATTTGAATTTTCACAGCCTTGAGCAAAACTTCAATGAACAGCAAAGAATTTGAAATCTAGTTATCTCAAAACAGCAAACTTGCTTCAGATGGAGCTACTCCCCAGAGAGATTGTCCCCAGCTGGGTTTTATGCCATCTCCGTTGACATAAAATTTCATAAAACAGTGGTTAACATAGCAATCCTCACAATTTCCGACTCTGGAGGTCAGGAAAGAAAAAACTGCGTTGAAGGACAAAAGTCAGAAGGTGCCAATCAGGGCTCAGTGCCATTGGAGCGACAGAAATCATCCCTTATCTAGGGTTATTTCCGCATGCAAATGAGTTGCTGTTTCGTAAAATTACACTAAAATCAGTAAAATCATTCACAATCAAGCAGTAATAGGCAATTGATATAAACCATCACAAATCAGTTCCGGTTCTAAAAAGCGAAATTTTGCGTAAAGAAATGTAATACATATCGCATATGAAGTAAACTGGTGCACGGAAAATTACATTGAAGCTTAAATTCAAGCTCAACGTTATAGTTCAGAGATTGTTTCATATCAAGGAGGATTTTTGGAGCTAATGCATGTCACAATAAAACCTATTGAAGTGATATTGGTATAAAGATTGATGAGATCAGTCACTGATTGAATCAATTCGCTTTGTTCTCTCAATGGCACACTTTTACGAATAGAGGAACAATTATTGCATTTCTAACATTTCGGTTCGAAATGTTACTCTTCATGAAAACAATGTTTCCGGGTGCGCTATACAATATGGCAGGGCAAATTGACAGCTTGATTGCGAACAGCGAGAAGGATTGTTTAGCTCGAAAGTTGCAAAAATTTTTTTTTGAACTCCACTTTGGAAAAACGTAACATACTGTGAGATGTTATAGAATAGACTGTAGAAACACAAACTATAGATTCTATATTTATCGCAAAGAAAGAGTAACTCTCAAGAGAGGAAGAACAGATCGATTGGTACCTCTGATGAAAATGGAGTTGATTCGACATCGAACCATAAAATTCACCTTTGCAGACATCCATGCAGGTAGCCTAAGAATTTTGTTCAAATATCAAAACCTTTCATTTTTATGAATGCGTTAAAGAAGCCAAATGAAGTGAGGTAGCAAATGAATTTCACTAACAGTGTCACAACTATTCAGTCAGTTTCCGGGTAATAGGAATAATTTCCAACGCATATTTTGTTGATACTTTCAATTACATAGCTATTAGGTTGTCCCGAAAATTTTGTCGGTTTTTTTCGGCTATAAAACTATGCGAAATAGACATCTGAACGAGTTCCAAAATGCGTTCAACGCAGTTTTTCCTTCTCTTCCTCACGATTACGTTTTCGAACCATAATCCTGCATGCATTCGCTGGTAATAGCCAAAGCTCTTCACCTGTCATTTTGGTGCTTGAAGTTCGGCTAATTTTCAAAAATTTCATTCCAAAATTTCGGAAAGATTTGGGTTTGGCACAAGTAAAGCAAATCTTGTACTATATGATAGTAATTTTAGATTTTCCTGATCTGCTGGTTTAGCTTTAAAAAAATTATTTCTTCGAAGATCTCGATTTTTGGCAGAGTCGAAACACGCGCGCAAAAACATGAAAGATCTCGGAATTTCTGCGAGTCAAAACCTGAATTTTATCAGACTTCATTTGTACAACATATCCAAGTTTGATTTGCTTTGCAGAATCAGCTTTTTGGAATTTTCGGTACTCTTGCGTGGTAAACGTGATAAAATAAAGTCGCGGTTTTTCCCAAGTAAATGATTATTACTAACTTGATAGACAAGGCCCATGTAATCTAAAATGAGAGTAATGTAGCCAAAGGTTTGCTCTACATATCAGCTACCAGCTCTCCTTGAAAATGTTAGAACGAAGATTTTTAAAATTCAGGGAAAGTATGGCGTTACTGCTGAGCTCAAAAAGCAATTGCGATAACATCGCAAAGGCAGTGCAGAACAGAGAGCAAATATAGCTGTAAGAAAGAGAATAAAAATTTGAATCAAATGGTACTTTAATCGTTTTTGGATTGATGTTCTATGAGTCCTAGTGATCGATGAAAAAAAATCGAGAAAACTTTCGGGACAACCTGATATATTTACATAAAAAATTTCGCCTAAGTGGACAGAATATAATAAATAATGATGATATATACGTAAGAAGAGCAAAAAACAAATTTTCTTCTACATAAGAATGACTTTAGCAGATGATTTTATTTTTAACAATTTTTTCGAACTGGCGGGTGGGTGTTATCAAGCAAGTCTTGAAATTCCTGTTTCACCAAGGCTTTATAATCCACTCTTTTTAGCATCGGATCGATCAATTTACATCATCTTCAAAATTTCCGTGTAAAGCTTCAGTTGGAGTTCTACTTGCATGTAGGGCAAACCTTTTGCAAATAAGTGCAATATTTCGCAATTTTTTAGCTTGTTTTATATTACATGCTTTTCAGTGGCTATATTTCATACGCACCACTCGAAACTCGTTGTGTAGCCAATAGTCGTTGTGCAGTAGCGCTATACACGGACGTCGGAGGTAACTTTTGCGAGAAGATACTGCAAAGAACTTACAAGTACTCACTCTATTTCCTACCTCTGGCTTGAAACTTACTTTTTGATCTTTTATAATTCTCCCGCCTTGGGCGGCGAATTTTGAAATAAACCATGGCTGAATTCTACACAACCACTACAAATGCAGGAGCTCTCCCAGTTCTTCCCTACTTTAGTTATTCTTTCAGTGACTATGAACTGTAAGTGGTGGAAACATCTGGGGCGGTATGTATAATTGTCCATCTGGGTATGGGTTCCTATTCAGGTAGCATCCGCTTCATAGCTCGCTGCTTTAGGAATTTGTTCTCCCTTGTTTGTACATCTATTGGAGGCCTTACTACGCTAATATTGTAGCGTAATGAATAGCAGCACTTTGCTGTAAAACTTGGGATTTTCGGTATTTTGTAAGATCCCAGACGCGATCCTCAGGGAATCAGGGCTCATTCATAAAGTCATTTATCTTTGAAAAAACTTGATGAAAACTTCGTAAAGTTTTGATCCTGATCTTTTATGATAGTATTGAGCATTTTCATGGAAGTAATAAGTGAAAACTCAAGTTGAGGAAACCGATGAACCTGCGTCCGAGGTGATGCACACCTATGGATAGAGCTTTAAAAGCTGATGTCAGATATACCCTCTATATTTGCGATGCGCTCTCCTGAAAAAGTTGTGAGCTTTTTTATGCCAAATTTTTGTGCATTTTTAGTCGTAAATCACGATAGTTTCCACAAAAAAGTATGCAGGCTCAGGCAATGCATCTAATAAGCACTGTAGGTCTGACCTAATATCATCCAAACGTTTTCAAGTGTTGTCCATCATGTTGTAATTCACAGGTCGTCATTTTCCTTCTAGACGGCATTTTCATCATAAATACAAAGTCCATAACTTCCTGTAGGAAAACGCAGCTATATTTGAGCCCAATCGCCACTTCGATCAAACGAAGTTCCCTTATTAAAAATGTATTACTCTACGGCTCACGCTTTCTTTGTTTCTGGCGTGTGAGTCTAACAAGGGAAATACGTTGATCAACTGATCTTCTAATACAAGAATCTGTCCTTAATTGTGTGGATAAATTTCTGAGTAATTTATAGGGTTTTTCTAAAAAAACCAATATTGCGGAGGGTCAGAGCCAGATTACCATTCCCCCCCCCCCTCCAAAAAAATAATGCAGAAACGGACAATGCTGACTCCTCCACGTTCCACTAATCAACTGAATGTGTTCTCATAGTGCCTTTCTTATGCGAAGTTCACTTCCCAGTTTATTGGTGTACACAATAAAGTTCGATGGTATTATGAATTTATCTAGGTATCACAAATTTATATATTCGATAGAGGCACTTAATAGAAAAATCTTGAAGCAAAAGTTGCTACCTAAGGTAGAATCAGCCAAAGAGGAAAACAAGTCTCACACAGGGAGGCACACAAATAAAGAATGGAGCCAACCTAGGTCTGACTCCAGCAGATTTTACATACCCTCAAGGATATGCGGCTTGACAGTGATGTGAACACTGCACTCATCCACGGTAAATTCCTAACCTCCATACGATACCAGCCCCAATTGCATTGATAAAGCAGAACAAATCACATCAAAGAGCCGTAGAACCACAAATGTGTAGATCGCTTGAATGCATTTCAAACATCAACACAAATGTGGAGTGATAAAAGAAAAAAAAAACCCCAAAACAGAAATATTGACGTATGAAATGATAGAGTGCGATAAAACAAGAGAAAAGGAAGTTTGCCTAATCATCATCACATTATCTCGATCACAAATTTAGGGCACATCACGTAATGATACAAGTGAACATAAATTACTAAAGTGCGACAAAGAATGCTTCTACTACGACAATGTTCAAGAAAAGACTTGAATGGGATAGAGTAAGCAAACTAAACTGACTCCATATGTGTACAGCACTAGATAGCGAAAGTTGCTCAGATTGCTTTTGCTTCCGTTTACAAGTATTAACAGAAGCGATAATCCCACGACGAGGATTTTGCTCATCAGAATAAGCTGCTTGGACTGTTGGCACCTGAAAAAAAAAGTAATTTTTCTTTTATCGACATGAAGAGAGATGCTCCGAAACCGAGAAGGAATTGAATTTAACGATGTCGCGAGTTTGAAAGACGATCGCTATCTGATCATCATGCCTGAGGAAACGAAAAATAAGGTTATTAAGTTCAAATCTGTTGAATGAGACGAGTACCTTCATAATCATTGTTTGGCACTTTTATTGCTACACTACTAAAAAGGTGGTTGTAAATCGCGCGTCATAAGAACGACTTTTTACCGTTGAAATATTATAAAAGAGGAAGAAAGTTTCATCTAAAGAGGAAGAAAGTTCTCTAAGCACAAAACAACTAATGAACTAAATCCTATGCGCGAAGTACTGAATGTTTAAACAAAAATGCAGACAAACACCTGTGAAAATGTCAAGTATAGAGCGTATCGTTCCTAGAGCATTCGCAACATATTTAGAGGAATTACTAGTGCGACGCCAACAGAATAAACAACAAAAATGATTGGCCCTATTATCTTCAACTTTCGCCTTTTGTTTCTACTTTAACAGCATTAAAGGCAGCGTCCAGGCAGATCTGGACCTATGGGGCTTTTACGTGGAAAGTACTTTTGGGGCCCTAACTAAGGCACTGCCCAAGCGGCAGCTCAGGTAGTGCTGTAATGGCTGAGATATTCCCCCGAAACTGGACCCCGCGACCGTGTTTCGCATGGATTCATGGCGCAAAGCGTGGATCCTGGCGCGAAACTGCCATGAATCCATGCGAATACGTTCGCGGGAGCCAGTTTCGAGGGGAATATCTCAGCCATTAGAGCACTACCTGAGCTGCCGCTTGGGCAGTGCCTTAGTTAGGGCAAAAGTACTTTCCACGTAAAAGCCCCATAGGTTCAGATCTGCCTGGACGCTGCCTTTAATGTGCAAACACCGGCGTCTTTCAGCGCAGAGGTGGTGAATTTCGCAAACTGAATAAAAATCAAGTCAACACCGCTCATACATTCTTGCCGATGATTATAAAACTACAAGCAGCGCTAGGACAAAGCCTGGGCTGCGAAAAAAAAAACATCAACGAAGCCAATTTGAAAATTGAAGCCAGAAAAAAACGTGAAAAAAGCAACCAAAAACATATAACAGTTAGAAATTTTAAGGAGTACCTTGTTTGTTCATCTGCATTTGATTCAGTGATGGGTTCTGCTTTGTGGGAGTACTTTTACCCGCAAGATTATCTAAGTCAATCAAACCGGTGGCGCCAGCCCAAGTGCTGCCGATCTTTGTAGATGTAGTGTTGGAAGATCCTCCATTTGCGACCGGCTAAAATGATGTGCAAGATCAAGTGCTCAATGCGACTATCTAATGAGCTCATATAAATGTTGTTTACCGATTTAGCAGGAGATGAAACTTTCGGGCTCGTTTTGGGAAGTGCATCGAAGTCACCAAAGATGTCAACGGCCTTGTTTTGCTAGAACAAAACGATAATTTACAATCTGATCATCAGAGGCTAATTAAAACAGCCTCATTACAGTTGCCCGCGAAAAAAATGCACGTATATTTTCGACAGGAAGAACAGCTTGCCCCCTCCGTTTTCGATGAGTGGGAAACATCAAAACATCACAATATGTCATGGAAGTGACGTAAGCGACTGAACTTAGCAAAGGCAAAACTTACGAATCTATTACGTGCTCAAAATTATATGAACATAGCAACCTAAGTAATCTATTTCGTATTCAAAGATACATCAACAAAGAAGTGCTCACAGTGGTAGGTAATCCACCAGCAGCAGGAGCAGGACAGAAAGCTGGTTGAGGAGCAGCGGCTTGTGGAGCAGCAGGAGGAGCAGCTGTCCAGTCAGCTCTAGAACTACACCCTTTGATCTTTTGTAATCTGAGCAGTTTTGATCATGTTCTTCAATATTGCTTCAAAAAATCGACTACTTCATGAAAAAAATCCAAAGAAGGTGAAACTTCACTGCCCTATGCTTGGTAGGGCCAAACGCAAGTCATTAGATGTGTTTATGCATTTGCCGACATGCCAAATATGGATATAATGAATTTGAAAGCTTACTCAAAAGCAGCGGGGAAGGGCGACGATGTAGCTGATGGAGAGCTAAACAGATCCGGAGGCAAACTTGGCCCCAGCTGAACAAGAGGTGCCGCAGGCGACGCCTTCGCCGCAGCTGGAGGAGGAATATTCATGCCAGAAATACTACTTGCTGGAGGTGGAATAATGCCAGGTACAGCATTTTTGCCAGAGTCCTGAAAAGCATAACCTGCTGTCAAAAAAGGCAGTGAAGAAACAAAAAAACTTACACCAAAGAAGTCTACTGCACTGGCACTAGATGATGAGATGTCCAGCCCTAGCAGGTCGAAGGAAGTTGAAGATGTGTTGGCTCCTGATGCTCTCGATGAAGAAACAGGAGCAGGTGGACTAATTACAGGAATGTGAGTTGGACTGACTTCAGCAGCGGCTGTAACAGTGCATTATAACCAATGCAAATCGACCATGTAAGTAAGCACTTCCAGGAGTTGGGTCTCTTTAACACACCGGTCATCTACCTTGCTGCTTCTCTTTTTTCTTTTTGTATGAAGCTGTGGATTCTAGCTAAGCAATTGCAACGCTTTGTCCTTTGATTGCGAATCTTCATTATCGAACGCAAATCAAATAAATCGCAAATATTTTACGAAGCTTGGGATCTAGAGGGAAAACATTCTTAAGAGTTCTCATGGTCAAATAGCAGTTATAGCTGAACCGGAAGAGAATCACGCAGATGAATGAAGCGCTTGCAGCCGCCACACATGTAAATCACCAATACAGTAAGTATATCGAATGAGAATTAACATCAGAAGATAATGCAAGAAAAGGGTAAGATACCCAAAGAAAATGAAAGTGAACATTGCTCGAGAACACACGCCGGCGAACGCCTTTACCCTTTTTACTTCTATGTCCAGTAAATGAAAATACTAACCTGTTCTCTGTGCGGCTGTATTTTGCTGTGGTATCGATCGAGCCGTGGCAAAATCACCAAAATCGTCATCAGGGGTAGGCTAAAAGGGAAAAGCTTAGAGAAGAAATAAAGAGCATTTGCAGGTTGCGATGAGTTACAGCTTTGCTATTTCCTGATCATCGGAAATATAGAAGTTCCAAAAACGAGAAAATTAGAGTTAAACACATATGACGTACGTCTTGCCTAAATCCAAGCTCGGGAGAAACGGATCCCCTCCGAGATTCTTCAGGAAACTGGAAGGAATTCACCTCCTTCACGGCATATTCGTCTCTAGAAAGCAAAAGCTCATTGCGAGCCAAGAATTTTCAAGTGATGTTACCTATTCTCCTCAAAAGAAGATTTTCGCTTGTAGCTACTTGTGTCATCTTTCCAGTCGTCGCTGTAACCATGCATCGAACTACCTGCACAAAAACTGCATCAGATGACCACAAAACAATTGCGTGCACGGGACTCACTGCTGAAAGAGCCTCCGCGTCCCATACGGATATCTTCGGATGTATAACCTTGATAGCGATCTTTGTTATCAGATTTTACTTTTCTCCTTTGCGCACGTAGTTTGTCATCATCTCCAACAAGATCCAGAATCAATTTTACCCTATGGCGCACTGAAAATTCACGAAATTCAGTTCCTTGTACTTGAAGCCGATACAAAAGCTGAAGTAGTCTTGGCACATAAATACCATAAACAGCTTATGCTATTGATTAGATGGCTCGAGCCCATAGAAGTACAAACACTAATAAGGGATTAAACTCAGAAAAAACAGTTAGAACAGATTGGTAGAAAGTTTCAATGCTTCGAATAACGACTAGTGTGCGAAGGAAGGTAATTAGAAAAACTACTTGCCATTCAAGCCCTGATCCCTTCCGTGATCATCAACATATTTATATTGCTCCAGCGCTCTATAATATCACTTATTAAGACGAAAATTGAAGGGTCAGAACAAACCTCATTTGGAATGTATGGTCACGAGCGCTCCCAATAACTCTTTCGCTTCCATGAAGAAGTAAGTGATTCAGTAAAGTGAGACTCTGAGATTATGATCATACATGCTGCGAATTAGTATTCATGGAAGAGCTGATTCTCGAAAATGTACCTTGTACACTCTTCTCCAAGCGTTTTTATTATCTTCAAGCATTCGTTTCCACAATAGATTCATAACCTGGTGAAAACCTTCGTACCTGCAAATATTTGAATGGAATATGCAAACAAAAACACAAAAGAAGTAGCTCGAAAATTCTAAGCTTACTGGAATGTATAATTGGCAATCTCCTTCATTTGAGGGCCGGTAGGACCCCATGGATCCTCATTAGTTGCTTCATAAACAAGATTTTCAGCTTCAGTATAATTCATAACCATAGTGTGACTATAACAACAGGTAAAAGCGGTCAATATCAATCCAAAACTGAGAAACTCACACAGATTCGCCAAGTTTCTTGATTTGATAAGGAATATTATTACTAATCTGCTTCGTCAGGCTTGTGAGGCCGGATATAAGATCCGACATTGTTCCTGGAAATAGCAGTAACTTCAGTCAATGAAAATTTCCAGCTGTGAATCGTTGACTGTATACAGCGAAACAATCAATACTGCATGACAAAACGAACAACTCCACGCGGTATAAACTAAAATGATCGCTCAAAGCGATGGTAAAACGCAGAATGATAGTGAGTGTTTGAAAATGCTCAGGCACCAAGAACTAGTACAAATCGACTCTTTTAGCGAGAATTTAGACGCAGGCGTTTACAGAAACAAAAGGAAAGTCCCAACAAAACGCAATCTGCGTTGGCAGTAGCAGATTATGTTCGAGTGCGCCGCGTCGCGTTCACCTGTGCGCGGCGGTCTTCCTGATCGAGCAGGTGAAAGTCTGAGAATTTCTGGCTTCGATGGTTTTTGAATGATCGTCATCACGACATCGTACGATTTGCCAGTGAGACTGCGTAGAATCTTGAGACGGCGTGTGGTTTTGACGCTTGTAATGGCTATTTGTTCCACTGTGGAAAACAAATTGTGGTGTTCTAATTCGACACGCTCAAATCCACATCAACCTGAGCTAAAAATCATGAATGTTTGGGTATGTATTCAAATTGGAGTTTAGAACACCACATAGTCAAGCACATATTTGCCATCTCTTTTTCATAAGCTTAACATTCATGTGCGACTGGAAAACTCGAGATCGCTTTGCGCACATCATCGAAACAAGCTTGCACTCGTTCTTTCATATTTCAAAGTAGCAGATAGTCCTGAAGTAATTACCCTTTAATTCAACGGGACTGGCGGCTGGAAGGCGACCGCTCGCACTCGCAACGCAGTCTGCGTCTCTTTGCTTGCTCTCTGATCGTTCCCTAGCCTTGCTTATGCCGCAAATAGATATTAGGTTGGCTCGAAAGTTCTGGGACATTTTCGAACTAGATCTGCTATTTCTCGAAATCTAACGCATATACATTAGATAGAGGTACCATTTGTTAGAGTAAAGCAAGCTCTACAAGATGGTATGCAAAAGTTCGCACCAGCTTCGCTCCATCGTAAGTTTGCACCCAAAATTTGAGTCGTTCTGAAACTCAAAAAACCGCGAAAAATTCATATCTTTGTTCAAATAAATCCTACGGATTTCCAACTTACTTACTTAGATACTTAGATGGCCCGTCCTCACGTGACATGCGGGCCCCAGTACAGAAGTTGCCATTTATCCCTGTCCCTCGCTTCAGACATCCACGATCTTCTTGGCCGTCGTCGGTGGCTGTGTCCACGAGTTCCAGGGGCGAAAGTCGTATCCAGCTGATCTCTCAGCTGGTCCATCCGTTCCACGAACACGTCTGCCCATCTCGTCGGTGGTCTTCCTCAAGGACGTTTGGCTTCGCGAGGAATCCACTCAGATGTTCTTAGTGTCCATCTGTCGTCTGTTCTTCTCATTATGTGACCGGCCCATCGGTGTTTTGCTTTCGCAACGTATTCCGCTGGGTCACGAAGACGGGACATTCTTCTCATATCCGTGCTGCAAAGTCCGACTAGATGTTGCTTGCGTCGGGTCATCTTCAGAAGACTGCGCTCGAGCGCTCTGTGGGTGGTCCGTAGAGCTTTCGACGTGGCTACAGTGTCGGCCCAAGTCTCAGCTGCGTAACAGAGCGCCGGGAGAACGGTTGAGTCGAACAGGTGGGCACGAAGCTCCGGGTCCGTCAGTTGGTCGGTGGCTTCCTTCAGAGACCCGAAGGCGGCCCAGGCTGCTCTTCTTCTCCTGTTGAGTTCTTCCCTCAAGTCGTTCTCCGTGTTCATCGAACGTCCGAGATACACGTAAGAAGACGTCTCCATAATAGGGGTGTCTTCCAATTCCATTACTGCATCTTCGCAAAGGGCGTTCCTCATGAACTGAGTCTTCTTCCGATTTATTCGCAGTCCGATCTTCTTCCCTAGTTCGTTCAGTTCCTTCAGCATCGTCTCTGCTTCGTTGATACTGCTCGAGAAGAGAACGATGTCGTCCGCAAAACGAAGGTTGGACAGGAATCTCCCATCAACTCGTATGCCTCTCTCGTCCCAGTCCAGTGACTTCATCACCCACTGCAAGGCCGCGGTGAACAGCTTCGGCGAGGTTGTGTCGCCTTGTCGAACCCCCTTCCCGATTGGTATGGTCAGGGGGCGATGGAACAGCTGCATCGTTGTTGTACAATCCTTGTAGCAGTTGGCTAGTGTCCTCACATAGGCTGGGTCCACTCCTTGATCGACTAGCGGTGACAGGATGGCGTTGGTTTCGACGCTGTCGAAGGCTTTCTCGTAGTCGACGAAGGTTAGGACGAGAGGCAGTCGGTACTCCCGGCAGACTTCTATGACCCTCGAAACGGTTTGGATGTGGTCCATGCAGCTGAATCCTTTGCGAAATCCAGCTTGTTCTTGGGGTTGGGCTTCATCCAGTGTCCTTGATATGCGAGCGAGGATAATCTTCGTGAAAAGCTTGTACAGCACACTCAGCAAGCATATTGGACGATAGTTCCGAAGATCCTCCCGTTCACCCTTCTTGAAGAGAAGGACGGTTCTTGACGTTCTCCACTGGTCGGGAATCTTCTCCTTCTGAAGGTAAGGTCGTCCGCAACGAAAAGTCGGATTTCCAACTTGCTCACAAAAATTGCACACCACATCCGACACTCATATGCACCGTACCTTTATTTTTCCTGCTCTTGAAATCGAGAAAACGAAAATTTTCATGCCTATGTAAAAACGAAGCTGCGCTGTTTTCACACGTAAATGAATAGTACAAGACCTTAGAAGTATACGTAAATTTTCAGCTTTCTGCGGGCCCAGTTCCCGAAAATTACCGAATTGAGCTCTCCTTACTCGGGCGTTCCACGCTAAAATCAATATTTTTCGACAACTAGGGCTTACGGAAAGCTGAGAATTTACTGTTATACTCCTAAGGTCTTGTACCAATTATTATATATTGGGTGGAAACAGCACAGCTTCGTTTTTATATAAGCATGGAATGTTTCGTTTTCTCGATTTCCAGAGGAGGAAAAAATACAGGAACGGTGCATATGAGTGTCTGACGTGGTGTGCAGTATTTGTGAGCAAGTTGGAGATCCGTAGGATTTGAACAAAGATATGAATTTTTCGCGATTTTTTGAATTTCGGCACGACTCAGATTTTGAGTGCAAATACGGTGGGCCAGAGCTGGTTCGAACTTTTGCACACCATCTTGTGGAGCTTGCTTTGCTCTATCGAATGGTACCTTTATATGATGTACATACACTGAGTTTCGAATAATAGCGGATCTTGTCTGAAAATGTTCCAGAACTTTCGAGCCAACCTAATACAATATGAATGTGGTGCAACAACCAGAATTGCTCCCATTTGAACCATCAACGTGGCTGTCTTTCGGTCATTTGAACATGTCAACTTTGGATAAGCAAATTTGCTGGAGTTAACGTGTTGAAACGATCGAAAGGCAGCCACATGGGTCATATGGGAACAATTCTGGAGGATGCACGTTATATGATACGTCCGGAGAGACTCTTGGTGCGTATCGGGAGAAGAAAGCATTACGCCGTCTTTTAGAGGGGAACAAAACCAAAGTGGGCTAACAACGTACATAAAACGCATTTCACAATGTCGCTTTGCACCTTACCTAGATCAGCATACTGGAATATCTTTCAGGCAAATAAAGACCATCGACTTTGTTTTTTGTGAAATCTCTGCACAGCTCAACTTATGATCGAAACTTGCGTTGCCGACATAGAGGCTGTTCAATAAAAGCGTCGCAGCTCCATCGGCCCGGACCTTCACGGCCGCCTCGCGCACTTTACAACGCGTTTGCGTAACTACAGTCTGTCCCAACCGAAATCAGGCCGAACCGTTTGCTAAATTTGCGCGCACGCAGCGCCAGTACTCTTGCGTATGCGCATTGTAGGAGAGAGCGAAGAGATCGAAGAGATGGCAGCAGGCAGTGGACATGACGCAAAACCCTAGCGATGCGGTCTCTCGCCATGCCAATTCTGGCCTGATTAGGATTGGGGCAGACTGTATGCTTTGCGCGTTCTCCCCCACCCAGCCATTCATCGAATCCTGCATTCCTCATAGCGACTATACATATCAAACTTGGCACCAAATCTTGTGCGTTACCTTTGTGTTGCAAATGAGTCATTTTTCCACCTCTGTGGTAAAAATGTCTTCGCAAAAAGGCTTGCCACATCTTCATTCACTTTATATCTTCTTGGCTCGCAATTCGTTCCTGCAGGCCTGTTTATCAAATTCTCTGTTTTATCTTATCGTCATTACTAGCTGGCTTACCAGGCTCCGCCGTATCCGGACCAAACTTGGCACACATACACTTCGGGCCCCGGCGGGTGTCACAGTCCACTTTTCGTTATCGATCGATGTCGATTTTACCGATTTTTATCCATTTTTTTGCAGAGTTCACCTACAGGGCTAGGAGTTGGCACAGGGGGGAAGTGAGCATGGGGATTCCGAATACAATATTAGTTTTCAGAATTATCGATTACTTTTATTGATTTTATCGATTTTTTGTAAATTTTGACATGCGAGGCTGGGATTTTGCACAGGGGGGTAATCGAGCATGCTGATTACGAACACAATATTAGTTTTCAGGATCGTCCATTACTTTTATCGATTTTATCGATTTTTTTTGTAAAGTTTGACCTGCGGGGCTGGGAGTTTGCACAGGGGGTAATCGAGCATGCAGATTACGAATACAATATTAGTTTTCAAGATCGTCCATTACTTTTATCGATTTTATCGATTTTTTGAAAATTTGAGCTAGGGGGCTGGAATTTGGCACAGGGGTTTAATCGAGCATGCTGATCACCCCCCTTGGGGATGATCAGCATGCTCGATTACCCCCCTGTGCCAACTCCCAGCCCCGTAGCTCAAACTTTGCAAAAAAATCGATAAAATCGATAAAAGTAATCGATAATCCTGAAAACCAATATTGTATTCGGAATCCCCATGCTCGATTACCCCCCTGTGCCAACTCCCAGCCCCGTAGGTGAACTCAGCAAAAAAATCGATAAAAATCGATAAAATCGATATCGATCGATGACGAAAAGTAGCCTATGACACCCGCCGGGGCCCGTAGTGTATGTGTGCCAAGTTTGGTCCGGATCGGTTCAGAAATGGAATTTTCTATTCGGAACATACGTACATACATACATACAGACAGACATACAAACAGACATTCAGCTTTATATATAAGACTAGCTGGCTTACCCGGCTCCGCCGTATCCGGACCAAACTTGGCACACATACACTTCGGGCCCCGGCGGGTGTCACAGTCCACTTTTCGTTATCGATCGATGTCGATTTTACCGATTTTTATCGATTTTTTGCAGAGTTCACCTACAGGGCTAGGAGTTGGCACAGGGGGGGAAGTGAGCATGGGGATTCCGAATACAATATTAGTTTTCAGAATTATCGATTACTTTTATTGATTTTATCGATTTTTTGTAAATTTTGACATGCGAGGCTGGGATTTTGCACAGGGGGGTAATCGAGCATGCTGATTACGAACACAATATTAGTTTTCAGGATCGTCCATTACTTTTATCGATTTTATCGATTTTTTTGTAAAGTTTGACCTGCGGGGCTGGGAGTTTGCACAGGGGGTAATCGAGCATGCAGATTACGAATACAATATTAGTTTTCAAGATCGTCCATTACTTTTATCGATTTTATCGATTTTTTGAAAATTTGAGCTAGGGGGCTGGAATTTGGCACAGGGGTGTAATCGAGCATGCTGATCACCCCCCTTGGGGATGATCAGCATGCTCGATTACCCCCCTGTGCCAACTCCCAGCCCCCTAGCTCAAACTTTGCAAAAAAATCGATAAAATCGATAAAAGTAATCGATAATCCCGAAAACCAATATTGTATTCGGAATCCCCATGCTCGATTACCCCC